TTTTGTTTACATTAAAAGGAGATTTAGCGACTAATTCTTTCATTTGATTTTTGACCTCAACTTCTATCTTAAAATAATTCAAGTAAGAGAGGGTTAAAGTTCATATTCAGTGTGCCTGACACTTAAGTTCGGAGGGGTTAAACTTATGAGAACCTGATAAAATAATTGAGAAAGCTATAGTAGCAGGTGGTCAACTGCAAGTAATTTCTATTCTACGTACTTGAAACTCTTTGATGTCTTAACAAAATAAAACTAAAAAGAAAAGTCAGTAAGATAATAACTTCTCAGAAAAGGGGTGTTTTTACTTGATTAATATGTACGGTATTTGACGTATTTCTTCCTACTGCAAGACATAATTCTTTTTTCTTTTCTTCCTTATTGTAATTTTATTGCTGTAATAATGATTAATTCACTTGATTTCAAAGAATTGTTACAGGATTACTTCTAAATTTTATTTCAATGTTCCATTCTTGCTATTTGAAACTATTTCCATTTTGAAACTGTGAACCACAAAAAAGTTGTATAAACGTAAAATGTTGTATAAAATTTGCCACTAAACAAAAATGTTGCACATAGCAAAATACATGTCAAAATTGCCTTTGTATAATGTATATCTTTAAAAAAAATAAGAGGGTGAGTAGGATTTGGATATGGGCAAAAACTCCTCCATGCTTTTAATATTATATATCGAAATTGCGTCTGTGTTGTAAAATATATACAACATATACCTCCCTTATACATGACAAAAACTAATATTTCTTTAAAAAAAAATATATGACTGATTATTTTAACAGACTGCATGCCTACTTTGTTACCTAACATTCTTGTTTATTAACAGATGTTTCTTCCTGTTGGTTATTTTTAGTATTATTTAACTGTTAGAGAAACATTATGGTCAAAACTATAAAAATACAATAAAGTTTACTATGTTCAAGGTTCTATGGAAGACTAAAAAAGCTCGGTAATTTCTATTGAACTGATTTGGTAATGATTTCGGTAAAATTAACAATAAAATATCGCTTTAAAATATGTGATAAGTTTGATAACTTTTTGTATGATCTCTTAGAGCATGGCATAAGAACCATTTAATTGGTTAAATTTATCAAATGTTCGAAAATAAAAACCATAATTTTTAACACCAGAATTACTGGTAAACTGCTATAATACACTGGTTATCATAAATTAAGGAAAAATCACAAAAATAGCGATAACTCTTTCAAAAGTAAGCCAAACCGTGCAAAATTTGCATATGTTGTCCACTAAGAGTAGCTGAGTAAAATTGCAATATGCAAATTAGTGGCGCTGCACTCGGCTTACGTCATCTGCCTGGAGCATAAAAGTCCAAGTTTGAGAGAAAGCACACAAATTTTACTGTGATTGCGACATTGAAAATCTGAGATAGCCAATTCGTAATAATGACCTCTAGGCATCATTTGCCTGAAGAACTACGATGGAGAGCCATCGGGAGACTAGAGGCAGGGCAGAGTCAATCAGAAGTGGCCAGATGGCTAAATGTGAGTCCATCTGTGGTTCATAGACTTTGGAGGCAATTTCAAACCACAGATTCGGCATCTAGGAGGTTCAGTCAAGGACGGCCAACTGTTACGACCAGTGCCGATGACCGATATTTGACATTAAGTGCACGCAGGAATAGAACCGCTACTCCGACACATCTTAGATCCTCTCTTGCTGCAGCCACCGGAAGGTTGGTGTCAACGTCAACTGTGCGCAGAAGGCTCCACGAAGGTGGTCTGTATGCGAGACGACCAGCCATTTGCGTGCCGCTCACATCACGCCATAGGAGAGACCGTTTGCAGTGGGCCCGACAACATGTCCACTGGACGTCAGATCAATGGAGGCCTGTTCTCTTTACGGATGAGTCCAGGTTTAGTCTAGAAAGTGACAGTAGACGTTATTTGATATGGAGAGAACCTGGGACCCGTTATCATCCATCAAACATCCGTGAAAGAGATGCATACGGAAGAGGCAGTGTCTGTGTTTGGGGAGGCATATCCTTAGGAGGGCGCACATACCTCCATGTCTTTCCAAGGGGAACCGTGAATGCTCAGGTTTATCGAGACAACATCCTTGATGCTTATGTGCGCCCATATGCCGGGGCAATTGGTGATTGCTTCCTGTTACAGGACGATAATGCAAGACCACACAGAGCTCGCATTGTTGATGATTATCTTCAACAGGAAACAATTACTCGCATGGAGTGGCCAGCTCGATCCCCGGACTTGAATCCTATCGAGCACGTTTGGGATGCTCTAGGGAGGCGTGTATCTGCCATCAATCCGCCCCCTCAGACCCTTGCCACGCTTGCAACTGCTTTACAAGAGCAATGGCTCTCACTTCCTATTGAACTGATAGACCGCATAATTGAAAGCATCACACATCGCTGTTTGTGCTGTATTGCTTCTAGAGGCAATCATATTCCATATTAAAGGTACTTTTTCTATTGCAAACCGATACTTCCAATTTGTTTATTTTATACATGTGCTAATTTCTATACTACTATTAATGTCTGATAATTTCTTTTTATGTTGTTTAATACCTTACTATGTGTTGTATATTGTGGGTAAGTTTCATAAAATTCCATGTGTAATTTCTTGAGTTATCGCGATTTTTGTGAATTTTCCTTAATTTATGATAACCAGTGTATGATCGGAAAAATTATCAATTTAATGGTCTTAATAACGTAACCACAATCATGCTTTTTTTGCCATAATTATTATTACAGTAAGGTAATTTTGTAGAATTTTCTGTCTCCGTAAATGTTTTAATTTTTCTAGATTTCATATTATAAGGTCAAGTTTTTTAATGAATGAGCATAACGAGTTTAGAGTTTAATTACATGCATGATACATTTCTGTTAGATTCCATTTTTAAGTGCCACTTGGACATTTGCAATACTCTGAAGAAGAAAAAAAATTTAAAAACTAGTAAGTGATATGAAAAATAAGATATATTTTTGTAAGAAAAATTTAAAAATTGTTTTAAAATTTAAAAAGGTTCTGTAGTTTAAATAAGTTGTTGCAGACATAAAAAGGATTTTAGATTATTCCGCTTAACAAACAACATCCCTAGTAAAAATTAAATTAAAAGTTTTTTCTGTAAAATATTATTGCTTAATATCAACATAAGTACAAATTATTAATGTATAAAGACCCAGGAGTTGCAGAAATGTTAGGCGAATTAGAACTTTAAGTAAGTTACTTTATTTCCTCTTATTTAAGATTCACCCAAATAATTTTTAAATTTTCCAGCAATTTGCATGATTAAAAAGTAAAACAAAAGACATTTTGTCTTTTAAAAGAAAAGTTACAGATTTTTTATAGGTAATCCCAATTAATTTAGTTAAATAATTAACATACAACGAAGCGCAAAATTTGCTTTAAAAATTAAAAAAAAAATTTATATTTTAATCATTTTCATTCAAACTCATCAAAAGATAATTACATCTACAAATGAACAATGACAAAGTAGGTTAAAAATGACTTAATTTTGTTGACAGCATGATTGAAAGATTGTGATTGTTGATGAAAATAAATAGGTTTGTGACAATAATAACATTTAAGAATAAAAATTTGATTTGTTTACTACGGAAAACATTTCATGTCTCTTTGTTTTTAAAAGGCATGTGTCTATCACGCCGGAAGTTCATCATAAAAAAATGTAAAATTTTCTTACACATTTTTATTTTATTTTTCCAAATAAACTCATTATTATTGAATTACTGAACAATGGCTTAAGAACTTTATTAAGATTATTAAGTATTAAGATTTTTCAAAACAATGGAATGTGTTTGTCTTAACTTTATTTCTAGTAAAGTAAGACATTTTAACTAGGTAATTATAAATTCGGATTAGGAATTAAATACAATTTCTCGAAAAAATTGTTAAATAACATTTTATTTAATTGTTATACAACCATATTCCAACAAAACAGTCGAATAAGCCTAAATAACATGGTATTCAAACTGTTAGCTAAAGAAAAACCGTTTATTAACTGCTTTCACTTAATACTGTTAAACAACCATGATTTTACAGCACCAATTCGTCTCATCTAATGAAGGCACTTGGTTCCTTGCAGGTGGGTACATATTATTATCTAAAAAGCTAATCTGTCTCATCATCGAGTCCTAGCGTTGACACCACAATACTTCCATCCTTTAGTACATAAAGTCACCAATGCCCTGAACTCCCCATTTTGTGACCCTGGACTATTAGAACATTTTACTCTAATTCAGGCATAGATGACAGCATCATAATGCTGTTTTGCAAGCAAAAGTCTAGTATTTCCCATCTCATATTAATAATAAACTTGAAATACAAGATATCTAAATTACATTCCATGTTACATTTGACAAAACTCAAGTCAACCACAGCAATGCCCATTACCTAACAAAAAGCCTATCTCTAATGTATAATTTAAAATATTATTTACGGATTCGAAACCATGCTAGTTGCAAATGGTTAAAAACAGTATAATTTTGTATTCATGTTTTTTTTAAAACCATAATAGTCGTCAAAGGTTTCGAGAATGTAGTTGGTAAAAAAACATTCTTTGCAGTAAACTTTACAGCTAATTGGATGGATAGATTGGCTGCTGTAATTTTACCGTAATTTTAGAATGAAAATTCCAGCAATGTAATAGTAATCTAAGGATTTGATTTCAAACAAAATTACATTTGAAAATACTTTAAATGTATTTTTGTTTGCGTCTTATTACTTTTTAAGGACGATTTAAAATCCAAATATTTGCTTTCGTCAGCTTAAATACAAAGAATAAAATATTTAACATCTATGTTTGGTACTCTGCAATAGAATATTCAAAATATTAGTAAATTTGTAACATGTTTTAGGTTTCTTAGGACAAAAAATTACAGAGAAAAATTCAAAAGCATCGTGTGCTTTTTGGACATCATGCAATTAACAATGTGCATTGTTTTGTTTGAATCATTAATAGTTAACTAATTTATTTCTAATATTTTTCAGTATTTTTCCAATGCCTAAGAGGAATGTGCAACATTCATCAGCAACTGAAGACCGGAGTTTTTTACTTTTGGTCTGGTTTGAGACCAATTGTATTTTGCTTCTCTCCAGAATTATTTGAGGTAATTAACAAAAAGCTTTTTTTTAAAATGTTTAAAGCTTGAATTTTTAAAATTTTCTTAATTTTATCTATGGTCAATTAGTTTCAGACTGAAGAAATACTTAGTAGAAAAATAGTTTGAAGATGTTGATTATTATTTGCAAAACTTGATTTGAAGATAAAGAAATATTAAAAAGATTGGAAAATAAACAAATTGGAAAGTTACATTTTATTTTAAGTCGCTAAAAATCCAGACATAATATTAAAATGACTCTTCATTCAAAAGTATAGTAATATTATCATTTTGATCAAATGTAATTTAAGATAATAAAAAATGGAATCATGAAATAGCGGGAATTCGAATATAAACTTTTGGTGCGTGGCTTCGGGCCTTCACCCCGGGCACCTTTAAACCAGTATAAAACCATAAAAGCAAGCATATAAAACCATCACTTTCTTGTTTCTACAAGTAAAAACATTCGTGAATCGGTAATAAATCATTACAAACTTATTTTCAAGGTCATGGTCAAACTGTGCGAAACTATACTGCCATGCAATTAAGAAAGAAAAAAAAAACTAAAGTGCTTTACGATAGATTTCGAAAAAGGCGACTTGACAACTATTTTCTTTCTATTACTAATGCGATTATTCCTAAAATAAAACGGTTGAAAACTAATTACCGAAATTTATTTTTGAAAAATGTATTTTTTTTTTTGTAATTTGTAACTTATTCTACGAAATTACCAAGTATGTAAAAATCCCATAGATGAATTTTTTGTCGCTAACGTTGACTTTTCAATAAGACAGCAGCATAGTAATAAATCGAACTTTTTCTTAAGGTGAAATTTTTACATTTCAGTTGTTCGTTAGCAATGTTTCTAAATAGTCTTTTTTTTCAAGTTCCTGTATTTTCCACTTGATAGTAGCGCATCAGACAAAAGAATATTATTGCTTACTTCGTGATGTGCCCTACCAAGCACGTACTAAGGACGTTACGTGGAACGTTAAGTATATATATATATATATATATAGAATAAGCACTACTTAATTAAGATGAATAAGGATTTTTTTACATCGAAGAATTAATTAAAATTGATTTTGAAAACTCTTTTATTATTCTAAAAAAATGAGATACATTTGATAATTTTCAACTTGTTGATGTTGCTCCGAATTCTTCGAGGTTAGGCGAAGTCAGACAAGACCCTTAAAACCGTTGAATTTAAAAACATTTTGTAGAAGAATTACTTTTATGAACCAAAGTTAATTTTTATCACTGTCTACTAGAGTTGTACAAATGTGTTATTTTTATGTATACCACATTTCTTCACCCTGTTACATTAGTAAAATTTTTTTTCGAAACATTTCGCATAATTTTTTTGTAAAAATGAATGACACTCTTTAAATATATTATGAAATTAATTTATGAAAGTCAAAATTCATTTCTTCTTTCAACTTTTCTAGGCTATTTTGAAAAGTCCAAATAACCTGCAGAAATCCTTTGATTATACATTTTTATCGTTGTGGCTAAAGGAAGGTCTGGTAACCAGGTATGTCATCCTACAAAATAATTTTAAATGCATTCAGCACAAATAATGCTGTTGATATGCAATGTAACTTGTCACCATTGAATGTTTAATTAAATTTCATTAACACCAAAAATATTTCAGGGTTTTATACATTTTGCTATGTACCTACTCCTCCATGGTGCGTAAAAATGTTTTAAAAGCTATACTCTTGATAATTCCTTACGTGATCTAAATAAAATCAATGCATATTTTAGTTAAGTAAAACATTTCGTGCACATTATATTTTTTGAAAATTAAAATGATTTTTTTTTAAAAAAAGCAGTATCTGTTAGTTTTTTTTTTTTAATATATACACTGAGAAAAAATGGTAAATGGCAATGGTAAAAAACTGCCAAAATATGAAAATTTCGTTTCTGGCTTTATGAGAACACCAAAAAGCACAGAAATTGCGCTTTGGCTAATATTTTTGTACAATTAACATTAATATATAGTTTTATAATATATGAAACCTTAGAAGCATAAAAACCATTTATTTTGTTCTCAGTTTTGTTTTCTTACTAAATGTGTGGTAATGAAAACTCAGTAAACTGTTACCATACGAATGATAAAATTTCCAAATGGATGGTTTTAATACCGTATCTTTTGGTTTTATTAACCGAATTACATTTTTTAGCAGAAATGTCATTACTATACAAGTATTTTAATTTTACCAAATTTTTTTCTCCGTGATTTAAATTATAAGCAATTGGTTTGACGCATGGTTAATTTCTTAAGAGTTGAATACTATAAGTTTGAGCATTTAAATCCAGTTTATTTTTCCCTCAGGGAATTTACCTTTTGAATAAATAGGAAACTCACAGCTTTAAGTTGTTATTGTGACCCCGCTTTCTTTTTTCTTAGTTTATTGTTAGATTAATTTGTCTTTTCAGCAAGAGACACAATTTCTGGCAGTATACTTTAAAAAATCCCAGATCACATTACGGTATAAAGTACCGATCCTTTGGGTGCATTGCTTCTGAACGTCGATGATTATTTCAATAAAATAACACTAATATATATAACTTGTAGAAACCCTCACTATAAAAAAATTGCGATCATTTCTTTTCCTATTAATTAACCCTTTGTCGAGGTGAACCTTTCAAACATTGATTTCTTTTCTGAAGATCTAATTACAAGTAAAAATATACTTTGGTAAGTTTTAATTGTAAAAACAGTCTAATAGTTATTAAAAAAATCTGTAAGATTATTGGAATTACACTTGCACTAAAATATAAAATTCCCAACAAAATAGTTTGAAAAAAAAAATTTTTTTATTCCTATTCAAAAATTCATCAATGATTGAGTTTATAAACATAAAAGAAATTTCAATGATGAGTAACTGTTTTTGTTAGATCTAAATTACTGTAAATTTGAAAAATTATCATTTGGAAGTGAGCCGCGTTTGGAGGATTTGACCTTTAATTCAGAAAAAAAACATCAGTGTTTCATGCTATTTTATAGCCATACATTTTTTTAAAATGCTAAATGCAGTATTTTATCCTTATTTTGGATTAAATTGATAGAAAATAATGATAAAAGTATGGAAAATATGCTTTATAAAAAATCTACGTCAACTGCTCAAACACCTCTGACAAACGTTTGTGTATCAGAAAGAGCGAAAATGAAGCATTTGGCAAAACAAACCTTATGGGAAAAACACATTTATTTAAATTATAATTTGAAATTTATAAAAATAAGAAATAAGATGTATTTTATTCTAACGAGCGTATAGGCGTAACAAGCATTCGTCGAAGTTAAAATAGCATCTTTTCAAAACGGTGTTTATTATAGCAAACCCGACAATTCTAAAAATTTTCCTTTAATTTTACTCAACATTCTAACTGCTTGCATGCATTTTTAAAGTATAGTTTCCGTTAGATTTAGGACTTGCGTATTTAGTCTTTATTTCATTATATATCAAATTTCAACATTTTTATTAAATTACATGGAAGAACAAATTTGTAGTTGCATATGCACAAACACTTGAATTTATGAAAATATCTAATTCGGGTTTAAGTATTTTAAATCTGAAATTAGCTTTACTTCTAAAGCTGCAGTTTTTTAAAAGACATTTTTAGTGTATTTTTTGTCGAAATGTACAAGATTAAAAACTTTATGCATAACAGGATGTAAAGTAAATGTTGCTGCAAGCTTCCAGAGGAGTTAGGGCACATTGTCAGAATTAAAATTGCTTTCGAACCATTATCTTGGAATGTCTTCATACGTGGGTGGGGGCGTTTTCCTGTTATGAGCACGTAACAGGATAAGCACTAATAAGCACATAAGAAATAGTTGGAGAGATAAAAACCGATTGCAGATTTAAAATCCGTGATACGAAAGTATCTAAGATCAGACAAAAAATTTAATGCAACACAACAAAATGTTCTCCAGTGTAATTCGCTCTGTTTAAAAAAGTTTTAAAAGAAAACTATTACGTTTTGTGGCAACTTAATATTAGAGTCTATGAATATATGTTTTAGTCATAATTAACTATTCCTCTTTAAGTTAAAACAATTTTTTATTCTACACTTTTTTTAATATTACCCTTCATCCTTTTAACTAAGAAATATATTTATCTATCTTATATCCCTAATAAAATCAATACAACTCAATTTCCTTGTAATTGATTTAACTCCGTTCATTTTTCATTAAACTTCGCACTTTTCAAACAATGTAGAACTCTAAATAGCAGCATACTACTTTCTTAATTTTTTCAATATTACTCTTCATCATTTAACTAGGAAATATATTTATCTATCTTATACTCTTAATAAAATCAATACTACTCAATTTCCTTCTAATTGATCGTTCGTTTACATTACATTAAACTTCGCACTTTTCAAACAATGTAAAAGTCTAAATAGCAGGGTACTACTTTCTTAATTTTTTTAATATTACTCTTCATCATTTAACTGGGAAATGTATTTATCTATCTTATACCCTCAATAAAATCAGTACAACTCAATTTCTTTCTAATTGATTTGACTTCGCTCATTTCACATTCAATTTCGCACTTTTCAAACAAAGTAGAAGCCTAAATAGCAAGGTACTACTTTTCATTGGACTTTTCTACTTTACATTTCGAATAAGGAACTGAGATTCAAATTACACTTGGTTTTTCACTTAACCTTTCGCTTTCTAAGGTGATCATATATTTCATCCTCTGTTTCATAAGTACCGTTTCTAAGGCTGCAAATTACTCGAATCTTACTGTGGAAATTACCAACCAAAATTACATACCACCGGGTCAGGAAGAGTTTAAAATACCCGGAAACACCATTCAAACAAGTTTAAGCGAGGATGTAGTTTTTAACGGGTAAGGGACAATCATCTTAAAATGGAATTTTTGAAAAAAATTCGCCGAAGCAAGCAGAAACCGATCCCACATTGCTGCCAGCATAATTATGAGAATTTATTCTAAAACTTGTAAATAATGATGCCGTCAATAATTAACTGCAAAACTACAGCGAAATTAAGGTCAAAGCTTCATCCTTTTTTACTAATTTATATTTTGAACATTTTTGAACTATTGACAAAAAAAGCATGACTTTATATCAATATTTACATACATAATCACTCATAAAATCATATTTTTCGCGATGCAACTTCACTTATTACTGAGGCAGGGAAAATCTAAAAAAAGTTGGATGCCGAACAGGAAGATATTAATTAATTAGCATGCATAGTCATTTATGTCTTTGTCAGAAATGTTTAATTTTTTTTTTTAAATTTTATGCCGTTAAAATTAATAAGAAGATTTATTTGGAAACATTAATTTCATAATAAGTTCTTTTTTTTAACTAAATACTTTTACTTATCAAAATGATAATCATTTTCCTGCAAAATACCTTTTAAGCATTTAGATAGGTATTCCTTTCTAAAAATTATATTGGTTAATTTTAAACTGACCCATCTTAACAAAGGTTATTTTTCAATACAATTTTAACAAATATATTTTTGTGTTCAAATTCAAATAAAATAGTTTTATTACATTTTCTAGGAGTAAAATATTATTCATTTAATTAATAATGCTACAGATGAATTCTACAAGACAAATACTGTTAGCAATTAATATTTTACTATTTTTTAGTACACAAATACATTGTTTATAAACTCTTTTATAAATACAAGACTACAGATTGGTTACCCTTGGTGCTTTTATGATCATAATAGGGAATTACATTTGAAAACACTGATATTAAATCTGGATTCAGTTTCTCTCTCCAAATTACAGTTTTTTATGACATTTTTAGTTTATTTTTGTCAAATTTTGTTTAAAAGTGCTCTATCAAGCAATGTTTTGACTACTTTCAACGGTAGTCAGGGCATATCATCAGGATTAAAATTACATAGGAGCTTATGTCCAAAAATGTTATCATATGCCTCTAGGGGCTCTTATTGTGAACTTCTTCGTGTGGTTCTGAACAGGTTATAATAGAGAAACTCCTCTGGCCGCTGCAACCGCATTTCCGGGCATGGGTTTATATGCAGTTTTAATTCTGATGATGTGTCCTAACTCCCTGAGACATTTGTTGCAACATTCACCTGACCCTCTGAACGTGTTTGAATATGTACATTTCGACAAAAAATAGACTAAAAGTGCCATTTAAGAAACATCGGTAGCTGTAGGAGCAAAATTAATTTCAGATTTGAAATTCCCATCCCCGAATTAGGTGAGATCAAGTATTTGTATAAATGCAACAAAAATGTTTTTGCATTCATGCTGTGTTATACAAATTGTTCAGGTATGTTTTTATCATTATTTATATTTTATTCCATTTACGCTTTTGACTGAGTTTTTAAAGCCGTTACTGAAATTCATTTTTGAAAAAAAAAATTATAAAACATGAAAGTTTTTAATTCAATAAGTAAACAGGATTAATTATAAAAACGCTTAAAATTCTCTTTTCTGTTTCAGTCGTACTGATATTTTAATAATAAAAGCATGAACGTGAATTTAATTACATATATCAAGAAACGATTTTAAATTAAACGCACAGAGCACAATTGAAAGGAGTTATAAATTCTGACAGAAGAAATTAACGACAAACCCCAGCTCGGAGAAAATTCTTCTTGAATTTAATTATAACAATTAGACTTTAATTTATATCCAAATATAAATCTAATATTTTGGGAATTTACGTGTTGTTAATTCCAGTATTTATTTACTTTATTTTGCTTAAATTAGATTACTTTCTTCTTTGGCTATTTCTTACAGGTCATCAAAAAATATGCCATCCAATACTTTGATCAGTTACTATGAGAATGGACAGATTAACTATTAATTAATTATTAAGTGCTTATTAGTTAATTACTACTTAACTATTAATTCATTATTTTTTATTATTTATTTAGTATTTATTTATTATTTATTTAATGCTCATTTATTATTTATTTATTATTTATTAATTATAAATTAAGTAATTAATTAATTTTAGATACATTCATTCTTAGATATTTCTTATAACACATATCCTTTAGGGGTAAGCTTAGTGCAACGCAAACACCTGCAATGTCTTTCAGAACTGAGTCTATATTAATATAAATTACTTTTTTTAATTTCCCATTTTAAAAACAGTTTCAAAAGCTGCTTCAAAATTGTCCAAAATAAGGTTAAAGTTTTGCAATAATAATTACCGTAAAATCACTCCGAATCACTCTAATTAAATAAATATTACTGTAGAAATTAAGGTATAATATTTTACGGTAAAAATAAATTTTACGGTTAAATGAATTTTAAGGATGATACACCCAAATTCCGGTACTCAATATAGTAATGTGATCCTGAATTTTTTTACCGTATAGAGCTCTAGACAAGCAAATGCGAATAGCAACCGCTGACTACTTGAGTCTGAAACAAAGACAGCAACTTTTGCACTTTTGGTAAATGTTTTAATAAAAGTGTTTGCACAGCACCTGGTTGTTTATTTAATACAATCTTTTGGAAGAAAATATTTATTACATATAAATGAGTTTTTTCTTATTTGAGCCACCAATTTTTTATTTTAAGATTTCTTAATTTGAAGAGTATATGTTAGAAAAATGAGATTATGTTTTGCGCCATACTGGTAATTAATTTATATATTTTTTTTCATCGCAAAACAAGAGCATTAAAAATATTGGAATTTTTAAAAAATTTAAATTAAATTCGACGTAACAATTTCTGAAAAATGACTGAAATCGAACATAAATTTAGCGCCAAATTGGGCTCAGCGTGTATTTTATTCTTTTATATTGCACTTGTGACATGGTCGCCATCTTTGGCGACAGGGATTGATATTTTAATAGCAATTTTATATGTAATGATTGCTCTTTTGTAACTGGCAAAAGCTAATCAATAGCTCTACAGCCAGGGGACATATATATATATATATATAAAAACTAGATTAAAAAATGCATATCTATAGTTCAGAGATTCCAACGAAAAATGAACTTCTTATTAGCATTGAGATAAAATATTTTTTGTAATTTCTTTTCAGTAAAATTTAGCCCTTATCCAATCACAGACTTTAAACCGTAAATCATAACTCTCTAATCTTAATTTTTAGACATTATTCAGAAAAGTTAAAGAAATGCATGATAGTTCGAAGTTATTATACATACTGTATAAATAATAAAATTTGTTGAATAATATTTTTTAATAATGATTTTTATTAATAATTTAAATAAATGATAGCTTTTAATAATAATTTAAATGAATAATAATTTTTGAAGAAAAAGTTAGCAATTAATAATTATTAAAAATAATTTTAAAAAATATTAATTTTTTGTTACAATTTAAATAAATAATTTTTAATAAAAATTGAAGTTAATAATGTTTTAATTAAATAATAATTTTTTACTTTTTTAAAAATATATATATTCTTTATACATATTAAGTCTCTCTTCAGTTTGAATCGATGGACAAAATGCTTGAAGAGTTAATATCAATTAGATATAAAATTAATTTTAACTGGAATCTATAAAATATTTTAGCACATTGACAGAACTTATTATAAAAATTTTCTTCAAATTAATTTTTTCTAGCCAAGGATCAAAATGGAAGCAAAGAAGAAGAGTTCTTACATCGGCATTTCATTTTCGCATTTTAGAAGACTTTGTTGGAGTATTCGACGATCAGTCTAAGTACATGGTAGAAAAAATTAAAAATGCAACAAAGGTGCAAAAATGCATAGATATTGTACCTTATATTACAATGTGCACTTTAGACATTATTTGTGGTAAGTATTTTTATTATTAAAAGAATCACTAACTTAAAATCCAATTTAAGTATCTGATCCGTAACAAAAATATAATTTTTTATGCAGATATCGCAGAATATTATTTATGTCAAAATTCTCAAACAATATCAATGTGTTAAAACGACAAAATTTTTTAAGGCAGATGTTAAGAATTATTTTGTAGAAATAATGAATACTCTGATGTAGTAACTGGAAAATCGTTTGTCAAATAAGAAAAATGTTGAAACCTCGTTATTTGCTAATATTTAAGATTAATTCCTTTAATTCACATACATGGAACAGAATTTAAAACTTCTTTTGAAAGAAAAATTATACATCTAACCATCTTTTTATTGATAAAAAATAAAACATAATAATAAGAACAACGTGCTATTTATATTCGTTACTTATATTAAGGAAAGTCAGCAGCTTTTGAAAAATATCGTATTACAACAAACTAAACTAAACCCATGTAACTATTAAAAAAATAAAAAATATCAATAAAAAATATCGATGAAAAAATGTCTGTGAAAATAAATCTTAGATATTACACACAAGCATAAACGTTTGCTTTTTGTGTGTTTAGGAAGAAAAAAAACAATTTTAACAATTTAAATTACTTAAAAAAATTAGCATTTTTCAAATTCAAATATTTCATATTCTGAGAGTTTTAAGAATGGACAAAATCCTACATTGTGAAAATTTTCAAATCAGTTTACGGTAAAAAGCACCGGCACTTTGGGTGCATCCTCCATGAAATTAATTTTTCCGATATCGTAGTTTTAACAGTATTACATATTTAATTACAATCATTCAGTGGTTTTATAGTAAATACTACAATAAAAATTACAGTATATCAGATTTCAGTAAAATATCTCAGTAAAAATCGATTTCACGACTTATTACAGTGAATTAGATATTGAGAAACTATTTCTAAAAAAATATCTGAGAAAAATAATCATTAAAGTTGCTATGTAACAAAATAAATTAATGCCAACTGCATAACAATTTATTCTTTCTCTATTGTATCCATAACAGGCGTTCTAGTTCAAAGGTGAATGCAAGCACTAGAACTTAATTAATATAACACTGTCTTCCTGACAAGATATCTTTTCGTATCTTTATTTTATTTTAATCTCATAATCTGTCAAAATGCCCACAATGAAAGATGCCATCATAGCAAGAAATTTGCTTTTGAAAATAAACACAAAAAAGCTGCAAGGTAACTTTTGCAATACGTTTCTGATGAAAGCGCATGCAGACTTAGTGAAATAAAGTATCTTTATTAAATTTAACTCATGACTCTGTTAAAAATCATTATAATGGATAAAGATATTCACTTATTATTATTATATTCTAGTGATTCATGGATCATGTTTTTATTTTTATATTTTCTGGTTCGCTTGAAAATTTTCTTTTTGTATGATGTATTAATTTAGACACTCGAGATTTTTCATATGCTTTAGGGCAATTCCATATGTGACGGAATGACATTTTGACTTGCAAAATAACAACTAATTGAAGTTTCTATGTATCTAATTTCAAATAAACATTTTTTTCTCATGCATATCATTATTATTGGCATAATGCACTTCATAAACTAAAAAAAAGGGTTTTCTATCTTTTTACTTTTAATTTTACGAACTTTTTATTTGCGTGACGGAATGACATTTTGGCAACCAAGCTTTTGGCATGCCGCTTAGAACTGGAAGTTTCTGCGAATTTTGCAGCTATTATTTTTCTGAACTATTTTATACTTTTAGTATAATGTGTAAGCAATGTAAAATGCTAATTTGGAAAATTAACCTCAGGTTGGCTAGCAGTTATTAACATCTATTTGCTGTGACAGAATGACCGTGACGGAATGACAAAAAGTTTAGTAGAAGAAGTCTTCATTTAAAAAATGTTTTATTAATATGTAAATGATAAACAGAATGTAACAGATAAACAGGATTAATATTTACGCAAGAATTAGTAACAATTTCAACAGTTTGAAAATTAGGTTGTCTCTGAAGAGGTTTTGTATCTAACTTGCCAATGTCACGTCTTATCTTCGTTCTCAGGAAATTTATGCATAATTAAGACATGTGACGGAATGATGTAAAAGAAGTTACTTTTATTTTATATATTAAACTTAAAATGATAATGTTTTAAATGTTTAAATTTTGTACTACATGCACATTTTTATTAAAATATTGCAAAAGAAAGATACATTTCTTTTATTTTATAAGTATTTTTCAAGAAAACAATTTGAGCACAAATGTGAACAATTCACTTGTCAGCCATGTGATTACTTTAGAATGCTGTCAGATTCAAAAAATTTAAGATTATCAAAAATGAAACGGCAATATGTAGACTTTGGCNACAAATGTGAAGAATTCACTTGTCAGCCATGTGATTACTTTAGAATGCTGCCAGATTCAAAAAATTTAAAATTATCAAAAATGAAACCGCAATACGTAGACTTTGGCTATTTTTGAACATATTTTTAAAATTAAAATATGCAATTCAAAAAAAAATTTACTTAAAAGTTGACACTTTCGTGGAATTGCCCTTTAGTAATAATTTGAGTCGTTTTAACTCGTGTTACAAATGATGATTATTTGACAATTTCCTTTTAAAATCACAAACCAACAAAAATAAATATTTTTTTATTAAAATTAATTTTTTTTCATCACTCTTCATAAATTATTTCAATTTCTATACCATGTGATATTTTTGATAAGCAAAGTTAATATGATTAATTTATATTCCTTGATAAATTTATGAAAACAATTTTAGCAGCAATCTTCAATTCAAATCTTCAATTAAAAACAAATTGAATATATGTTTTTATTTTACACAGCCTTAGGGGAAAATGAAGAAAATTTCGTGATTTCAGTATGCATCAAAAACTTTAACTACCATTCGTTTTGATTTAGCATTTCTTAAGCAGCATTCAAAGAAAAAAATATAAGGAACAAATCACGATACAAAGTACCGGCACTCGTTGTGCTGATATTTTTTACCGTGAAATTTATTTTTAAGGCAACATGTTACGGAATAAAAAAAAATCTGGTATACCATAATTTTATAGAACTAACTACAGTAAAATCACTGAATCATTCAGATTAAATGTATATTACTGCGAAAATTACGGAATAATATTTTACAATAACAATGGATTTTTTGGCAAAATGTATTTTGCGGATGATGCATCCAAAGGGCAAGTACTTTATACCGTGATGTGATCCGGAAATGTTTACATTGTTTTCCGGGGTTACTTTTATTTTATGTCATATTTTCCAATCATTTGTGTAAATTTTTATCAATACCTATTTGTACCAAAAAGTCAAAGTTTTTTTGTTGAAATTCGTATCTTCAAATAATTGAAAATAGCAATTCACTAAATTTGATGATTTGATAAATTCCCCAGGAAACGGTTTCGCGAAAAACTAATAAAATCGGTGTGTCAACAAACAAACTAATCTAAACATTCTTGCCTTATTTTATCTTAAATATTTTTAACAATTTTTAACTGGAGCCATACAAAACAGGTCTTGGAGATTATATTTGAATATTTTTTAGAGACAGCTATGGGATTACGAATCAACGCTCAAGATAATCACGACTCTTTTTACGTCAAGACTATGCATAGGTAAGTTTTCAGAATGCTTTACAAAATGTAATTAGTAAACGATAAAACTTGTAATATGGTCCATGTTTTTAAGAGTATACAACTGAATATCATTTTATATTCATTGAATAATAATTTTTGCTTTTTTTTATTCCATATGTTATATTACCTAATAAGTTATGAATACACAAGTTTTACGTATTCACTTTGTTAGTATATTTTAAAAAAATAAAAAAAATAGTGCGTGGAGTCCCTCCGCGAGGAAGAAGTTAAACTTCGCAACCTGCGACGTTAATTGTAGAAGAATCAGCAGTAGTAGAAGGATCACTAGTTCTATTCAACGACTCTTTTTCCTGCTCCACTCGCTTCCGTGCTCTGTAATCACGGTAATATTGCGCATTTTTCCTTCGTTGACCTCCTGAACCTGTGGAAGTGCTTGTGGTTGCCTCATCGTCTCGTCATGGAAAATGTATTTCTATTAATAATGTATGTGAGTGCGTCATAATGTAATTTCAAAAGAGAAACAATCAATTGATATTCACAAGAGACATACCTTGAGATAACTTTAAATCCGTCGCATTGTCCGTGGGATTGTTTTCACTCATTTTTTACAATTGTTATCAACTAAGTTTGAAAATAAAAAATACTACCCTATNTTACAATTGTTATCCACTAAGTTTGAAAATAAAAAATACTGCCCAATTAAATTATATATGTATCAAATCAAACTAAAAAAGTATTTATAGAAAAACAATACTTTTATGACTTTTATTATTTTTATGCTGGTGAGAACCAAAACAATGTGGAAATGAATGAGGCAAAACTGGATCCTACCACGTGATTTACCGGCCAATAAAAATGTAGCGTTAAACGTTTAACGCAACCTTATTGGAAGTCGCATAAGAAGTATAACTTCAATAATTGATCGAAGTACTAAATTAAAGTGCAATTGTTAGTTCGAGAGATTCTGACGTAACTTATTGTTAGCTGGAGAAATTTTGACGCTACTAGGAAATACCGCATCTTCATTCTTCTGGCAGTAAATGCAGTCGGATATTCAATAGGATGTCCGAAGTGCTCATGTTTACTTCACGCATTGCAGTTATGTATTGACTGTTTTAATCGATTAGATATAGATTCATTATTTAATACATCTACAATATATATTTTCTTAATTTAGTGCCTTTAAAATAAGTTGCTATTTTATTGACATTATATCAGTTGAGATAAAACTGGACACAAAATACAACAGTTTGTTTTCCCAAGGTTCATTAGGACAGTTTGCAACTTTTTCTTTTAGTGACTGACAAACTTTTATTTAATATTTGCTTGCGCTTGAAAAAAATGTTACAGAAAAAAAACGTGTGTATATTTAAAGGTTGCTTTTAGATTGTAAATTGGACTGAAGTTCCCGAAGCTAAAAATGAAGATGAGAACGGAGAAGAAAAATTTCTGGTAATATTACCCGTAAGAATAAAGTATGGTAAAATTACCGTATGAGTATCTGGTAATATTACGGTATGAGTATTTTTTTAAAAAAACAAAAATATTTTTACCCTATGGGGTAATAACATTTTTGTTTTTTTAAGAAAAGTTCTAGGTAATAAAATAAAATCATGCGGAAATTAAATCATTCATTTGGTAATTTATCCAGTTAATCAAAACATTCTGGTTTTCAAAATTCTAGTTATTCCGCGCATTAAGTAAAAAATAACTGGAAAGCAATTTTAACCAAATAAATGGTTTTTCTACCTTGCTCTTAGGTATCATGACAAAAACTACCAGATTTTACCATATTAACTAAATTTTATCACATATTACAAAACCATATTTTATCGTTAACTTTACAAAAATCATTACAAAAGGGCTACGGTAAAAAATCTCTGGGCTTTTTGATGTTCCCATATAGTCAGAAACACAGCTAATTTTCTCATATTTTGGTACTTTTAACCATACTTTCTTCGCAGGGTGAAACGTGCTCTAAAGTATAATACTGTGTAATATCATAGCCGAAATTGATTTTTTTTTTCGAAAAAACTCATTCTTTCTTATAAAATAATATAAAACGTATTTTTAAGTTGATTCTAGGGTTAAAAATGATAAATACCGAGGTTTTTTGCTTCACTCATAACTCAAATCAAAGGCACGTTTTAGTCATTTCTCAAAAAAAAAAAATGAATTGTGAGGATTTTATTATTATCAAGACAAATATTTTAAAGTTACTGTACATCTACTTATTTCGAGCTTTTTAAGTATATTGTCCTATAAATGCCATAAATTTGTGTCCATTATTACATTTTTTAATTCATTTTGATCTATAAATTACTAACGAAAATTTGTTTTTGTTACACTTTTTATGACTTCTTTGAAATCATTAAATACGTCGAATAATTTGTTCTGACTTAAAACCTAAATCGACATCATTTTTAACTAAAAGTTTTTTTGCAAAGGTCTTTTATTACCTCTTACTGATATACTTATAATGTTTCCATCTGAAGGGTTGCAGAAGCTTTTGTAGGTCGTGTGCTAAGGCCATGGCTATGGCCAGATTGGATCTATTTCAGCACAGGCAGAGGAAAGAGATTTAAGGAAGATTCAGCTATCATGGATAAATTTACGAAACAGGTAAGAAATATTTTTTGTGGTTAGGCTTAGTAACGGTGTTATAGTTTAATAATTGCAATAACAAGAGAAAAGTTGAATAATATCAATGATAATTTAACTAAATAACGTTATGAATTTAATGAAAAATAATAGTAATCACAACACTTGCAATGCATAAAATTCCATATAATAACAATAAAGTTAAATTGCAAAAATAGTGTTTAATTCAAAAATAAGGATTTAAGACAATCCAATCTTCAATTCACTCATCAAATTTGTAATAGTTTATAATTCCATTGATAATTCCTCTGCTTGTTTGAATAAGTGTATGTGCTGCAGTGAGCTATACTGCTTAAAAATAATACCACAAATTTGACTTCATAAGATTTACAAATAGAACCTCCTCACTTAAAGTGAGGATTTTTACCTGCTAAATGAATTAATCGGGTTCTTTTGCTAAATGAATTGCAAAAGCTGAATTAGTTATTATTTTTTTAAAAAGTTTTTGAAAATTTGGTGGTATTCATTTTCAATATATTTTTCAAATAAATTACCCACTGGTTATTGCTTGAACGTATCTTTCTCGTTGTAAATAACTTTTACGTGGAAGTTGTAGCTGTTGTGAAAAATTAGCTCAAGCTTTAATAAAATCTTGCTTAAACAGTTAAAAATTCTGGATCAATTTGCGGTAAAAAGTACAGCAAAAAAGTCAAATATATTTTAAATTTACTTCTGTTTCTCTATCTTAATGTAATATTTTTCTCAACAGTAGTAGTATTAAATAATATTAATTTGTGTACTCAAGGCAAAGCTAAACGGTATAAAATTTTCCATCAAATTACAGTAAAAGTACCTGCACTCAGGGTGTTGGAACATTTTACCATAAAATCTATCTTACAGAAACATGTTACAGAACAAAAAATATGATATGCCGTAATTTAATTGGGTTTTAATATTTAAATTAAAAATTGAATAGTTAAAATTGCGTTTTAATATTTTACGGTAAGAGTGAGTTTTACCGATGTGACGGGATTTATAATCACAGGTAATATGATCCAAAATTAGTTAAAGTGCACCATTTTTTAAAATTTTTTATCTATAACAGACGAATTACATATTTTTTGAAAATGTTATTACAGTTAATCATTGAAGTTGATTAAAAAAGTCACGAAACCAATAGCAAAATGATACTGACCTTCTGATATAATAGCTAATGAAATTTAAAATAAATCAAATTAGTCACGTAACTTCAAGGATTTGCATAATTGTTGCAAATATGTTATTTCTTTCTACTATAACATGCCACCAGTTCCACCAAAATGTAACACTAAAACTGAGGAAATAAATCCCCAATTTTACCTCATATTGTAGAAAAACAGACGTTTAAGATATGTCCTTAAGAGTTACATTCAATCCTTTATTTTAAATACTCAAATGTAAGCAAAAAATCTTTACGTACACAAAAACTACATTAGTAATATTCATTCTGTTGATTTACTGAATTCGTTATTGTACATATACAAGGAAATAAAAACAATTGTTTTAAGAAACTTTTTTACTCCGTTTTCCAATTTCATTAATTCAAACACACTTTTTTCCAATTTCATTGATTCAAACACACTTTTTTCCTATTTCATGAATTTCAGGTAGCTTTTCTAAGAATATTTTTAGAATAAATTAGCTATCGAGTTATGTAAAATTTTGATAAAGAAATTTTGGGAATAATGAGATCAAATTTGAAGTATCATAATGACAACTGTCGTACGTTTCTAAAAAAATTAAAAATGATTTGATTTTTGATTTTAGTGAAAGATCTACTCATGGCTCTTTGTTATAACTGTAACTATTTACAATACAAATTAAAGATATTAATGTCTGAATTAAAAACATAAACATTCATGAAATATTTGCAAAGATTTATTACTAAATATACTTTCGTATTTAAGAAAAGTTAATCGTTTATATTATTTAATTTTTATTAACTTGAGCACTTTTTAAAATCAAATTTGCTTAACAACAGGTCATATTGGATAGAAAAGCTCAACTCCTCTCAAAATGCTCTGAAAAGACAGAAGATGACAAACAAAAGAGTGGTTATTCAGAAAAAAGAAAAGCATTTATGGATTTACTTCTTGACATGCACATGTCGGATCCTTTGAGTTTTACAGAAGATGACATACAAGAGGAAGTGGATTCATTCATGTTTGCTGTGAGTAATTAAACTGAGTAATAAATTATGTAGTTTATATAAAATATAAAATAGTTTACATAAAATGATGATGTTTTATTTTAGAAATTGTTTTATACATTTTGCTTTATGTTGAAGTATAGGTAGACTCACAGTCTTAATTCCTGCCAGTAAAATGGTAAAATAATTTTTTAAGTATTAAAGATATGCTAGCAATTTCCTTTAAAATAAAATGTGTAAATGTATAGTTTGCTGCCTTCAGCGTAAAAAAACTAAATAATTTTTCATAACAAATTTTAAAGATTAGTTACGACATTCATCAAAAGACGCTGCTAGAGCCGTGGTGGCTCAGGGGATAAGGCGTTCACTTTCCAATGAGGTGTCCCGGGTTCGTATCCTAGCGATGGCTGGTTGATACGAATTCTGCACCCGACAGAAGAATAGTAGAATATCATTAGAATATAATTTAGTAGAATATCATTAGTATATAATTTAGTAGAATATCATTAGTAGAATATCATTTAGCAGCTACAACAGCTTTTAATTGCCTATGATTAAATGTTATTAGTTTCGTTTCTTTTACAATTTCTGCATCAAACTCATACTTTTTTCACCATAATAATTTTAGTTAATCTTTCGTTTAATGTCATGTAATCACACACTGATTTCTAGTTCTCTTCAAATATGTTTTATATGGTTTAAATATGGGCGATTGAGGTAGTGTGTTAAAAGTTTGTTGACATTTATCAAGACATCAGATAGATCGTTGATATCGTTGATGGGCGTGTGGTTATGATAGTTATCCAAATATAAAACGAAGTTGTTTCCAATATCCACATTTTGGGCTGATAATTGTAAACTGTATCTTAAAATATTTGAATAAACATGATGATTCATTGTGCCATCAATAAATATGAAATTAATTTATCCTAATGTTGACATGCACCAACGCACAAGGACACCACCGCCATGCTTAACTCTGCCCCAACTGAGTTGTTGGGATAAATTTTCTTATTTTTTTTGTTCCATATCGAGCCCCGATGTGCTAAATTTGCTTTCATCTGCCAATAAGACATTACAGATTCATTTGGGATCTATATATCATTGATTTTATGAAGTAAAGCCTAATCTTTCCGTTTTTCGTTAAAACAAAACACTTTATGCCCAATTTAATCTATCTGCTTTGAAAATTCGTCGAAGAGTTTTAGGTAAAATTGTCGCAGAATATTTATTATTGAATTCCGCAGAAACTTTCGCAACATTCTAATGAATTTCTTCATAAATTTTTTTTTCGGAATTTATGATTTTAATCTTTGACTCAAAATCCTTTACTTAAGTTTTTTATCACATACTGCATAGTGGAATGGGACAAAACAAACTTTTTTAAAAAAAATATTTGTTACTGATTTATCACTAATGATGACAAATAATCAACTTTTAAATGTTGTCTATTGTTCTAATATGACTATGAGTCATTTTTAAATGATATAAAAATATTATGAAGTTAAAAAGCAAAAAGCAAATTCCAATTTTGCAACCATAATTTTGATTTCAAATTGCAAAAAAAAAAGAAATAATAAAAGAAAAATGAGTTAATAAAAAATAATACTAACGACAATAACTTTAATTAAAAATTCATACGAAAACATCAAAGTATACGATAACTTTTGTGAGATAAAATTTTTGTTAATTTTTTAAATTGATTTCTTATTAATAAACTTTTACATTGTTTTTAAAATAATACAAGCAGTTTTGTTAAGAATAGATACTTATTATTATATACCCATTCTGATATAGTAATATTAATTAATGAATAAATCATTGAAAGTCGTAAGTTTGCGAACACTTTTGGGAGGCAATGTACAATCTGTAATTTTGCCAAGCTATAACAATATAATTTTAGCAACGGTTGCAAAATCTTGTAAAATTTTAAAATTCCAAAAATATATTTTTTATTTTAAGATTTCATTGTTAGTTTACTTTAAATATTCTAAATTAGAATGACTTTTTAACGATATGATATTACACATAATTTAATTGATATAATTCCTTAATTTTCGAACAAATCAAAAATTAATTATTAAAGAAAATCAATTCAAAAAATGAAATCATAGTTTCAATCAGAAATATAAAACACGTACAGGCAATATTTTTAAAGATAGCGCTTCATAACCAAACTATTGAAAAAATAGCAAGCTATAATTTAGGAAATGATTGTAAATCATGACAGATTTTTAAACAACTATTCATTATTTTCGAAAACTGTTAACTCTTTGATATATGTCGAGCATTTCTCTCATCCTATATGTAATTACTTTAAGAACACTAGATAATTTTCTAAAGTAGCCACTTTACAATTAAATACCTGAATTTCTTGAGAATAAAAAGAACTATAATCTACTTTTTTTGTGAATAGAGAGGAAGTGAATTTTCGTGAGAAGTGTCAATCATCGGACAAAGATATAAACTTGCATAACATTCAATTCGTCACTCTTATTAAATATACGGATATGTTTGTAATTAATTTAATGACCATATATCTAAAATCTGAAGTTATTTTCGAGACGTCAATTTTGTTTTTAATTTTCTTTCAATAATTCAGTTCCCACCATATCCTTAAATAAACGAATGTGGATGTCATGTTTTATCTGAAATTATATGAAATAAATATTAAGTCCATCATAAAATACCCTGATGTTCTGAAATAATATTTATAATTGTTCAAGAAGATCATTAGCAATTATGAAATTGAAACGTAGTAGTTTTAATCAATTAGAACATGGTTCTCTAATCAATTAAGCACATGATGAAGATTTGAAAAATAGTAGAGCTTTTGTGTTAGTTGATATTAAATCCCCTCTTGCTCCCCCGTTAAGAAAAATCTAAATCCCTTTCATAAAACTGCTTCAGGCATTTGATTACTTTCAATTGATTTTGAACAATTAAACATACTTTTAGACTGGATAACGAACTTAAGTTTTTATGTTGAAATAAGTCTTCACTGTTGGAATCAATACTGTAACTAGTTCAAACTTTTTATTTTATTTTTTTTGTAACCGGTATTGAGCAGCTGATACAATTCTCAGTTCGCAACTATCACTATGTAATCTCATAATTTTGAGCGCAGCCCAAAAAACAAATAAAATCCTGTATCAAGCATTAGGTTTAGCGTGTAGGAATTTCTGAAGGAAAAACCCACATTTGCGTTACATGAAAACCACGAAGACCTCCTACAGCTAGCCTAACGGGAAGTGGACTCAAATCATGATACGTCAACCTCTGAGGATATTTTGCGTTAGCCATGTGGTCGGTGCAAGCTGGGAACAGAATTCGTATCAACTAGCCAACACTAGGGTTCGAATGGACTCTGATGTATTCAACACTATATGACCTAATGATACGTTACCGCTGTATCCCTTGAGCCACAGTGGCTCTGTTTCTAACGTTTGAAAATAACATAAATCTTCTATTATTTTGCGTTACTGTGCAACGGATTTCCCTCTTTTTATTTTTTTGAATTAGCTCAAAATGCTCAGCTGAAATATGCACAAAGTTAACCCAATAATCCTTGTTTAGGTATATAACTTGGTGAGTTTAATTTTCTAATTTTGCAAGATAACAAGACAAGATAATTAAACCAGAAAACACTGCATATATACTGTAAAGATAAACTTTATATTAGTAATTTTTGAGTTCGAAGAATTTCCCACTCACCTGCGTCATAAAAAATATCAAATCAAATTACGATAAAAAGTACCGGTACTCAGAGTGCCGGAACTTTTGACCCTGTAATCTATTTTTATTAGAATATGTTACGAACAAAAAAATCTGACATGAAGTAATTTTTACAGTAATAATTACCTTAAAACTACTGAATCACCCTAATTAAATGTTATTGTTAAAATTACGGTACAATAATTTACTGTAAAATTGATTTTACGGATAATAAACCCAAAGTGTCGGTACTTTATCCCGTAATTTCTTACAGTGTGTGTTTATGTATGAGGTACTGTTCTTAGCAAACATATGTTCATCCCTTTATTTTCAGTCTGTGAAGGATGATTTAGTCCTACTCATTAGAGCCCCTGAATTAGACAGGCCGACTTATCATTCATTTTGGAGCAAAAGCTTTTCCACCAATAATGAAGAGCTACAAGATTTGACAACTTACCGCTAAAAACGTTAAACTCAGCTATAGGATAATCGGTAAAGAAAAGCGTGCAACGATTAACATTGTTTTTCGGAATCTTTTTTTTTATGCTTATACAAATTCACTGGAAATTTTATGAGCGATTTAAAGTTTTAAATAAAAAAAACGGCGCATGTGCTATATGCCAATTGCATAAATTTTTTTTTCAAAATGATTTCAAAGTGAATTTGGTACTAAATTTTATATTTCAGTTAGATCTGAGTTTTTTAAATTTCTTTTCAGATTTTTTTTAACATACAGTAGGGAACCGATTATCCGGAACGTTCGGGACCATCGCTATTCCGGATAACTGATTTTTTCCGGTTTTCTGAATCGCTACAAAAAGCCGTTTTCTTATTGTTAAACCCAACTAAAAAATAAAATTTTTTGGAAATAATCTTAAAAAGAAGAAAAAACGATGAAGTAATACGCTAATGATTGTTTCCAAAATGATGGTAAGGTGAACATCTTTCAAAAAAGAATGAAAAATCCTGAAATCTTATGAGGAAAAAAAAAACTTTTTTTTTAAATGGCGGGAGAATTTATCGAATTTCGTTCCGGTTTTTTGGTTTTCCGGTTTTCTGATTTCCGGATAACGGGTTCTGTACTGTAATTAAAATGGTAAAAAAACATGTTTTGACTTGAAATATTTTTAAGTACGTTTTTAGATAATTAAATTTCTTATGCAATATTCTAAATGTAAATGTCTACAATCGTGAGAAGCAAGGAAATTTTGCTTCAAAATGAAGAATTGATTCAAAATTAGTGTTTTTCATTGAGACATTGAATTTTCTTTAAAACATTTAAGGACAAGACGAATTAAGATTTTTAGCCATTATTATTATATAAATAGAATTAGTGGAATAAATAGAAACTAGAGTTTTATGGGAAGGAAAAGAAACGACGCATGATAAATTTTAAATAATTTACTTAAATAAGCATCTTATTTCAAAACGCATTTTCAAAACATTTATTTATTTGGAACATTGAGAATTGTTGGAATAGCATCAGGTCTTAATTTATTGTTTCCATCTTTTTATTTATTTCTCGTTGAGATTATTCAAAATGAACCTGCAAAAATATTTGGAATACATTTTTTTTATTTTCATACTTAAATTAAATCACATTAAAAAAAATTACTATTTACAATTTACAAACATACACCAATGAAATTTTCTATCACAGAAACTAATTATTTCAGCAATTTAAAACAAGAATTTAAAACAAGAAAAAAAAAGCATTGATAGACTCAAAAACATATGAAAGAGCGCATATTAAATAGATTTCTTATGATAAATAAAAACTGTTTGAATTTTATGCGATATATTACCATAAATAATTAAAATTCTGACTTAAATTAGCCAAGATTAAGAAAGTAACTACTTGATCTTAGTGAAATAAAATGTAATACAATAAAAAACAGGTAAATATTTGTTTTTTTTTACAAAAAGAAATACTTAAAAGTGATGACAAAACTTGACGATCATGAAATAAGTTTGGTGAATACTTATTTAGCCAATCTCTTGCCTTTATTTATTAGTTTTATTGCACATAAACACTTAAAATTGTTAAATAAATCAAGAAATGTTATTTAAAAGTCATATTTTGAATAAATATATACTTAATAAATGTAATTTTCAATGAAAATTCCTATATTTGGTACATAGTTGAAACTGAACAGTTCAAGTAACCCTGCAAGTTATTCGCTTATTTTTTTTTTTTTTGAAATAGACGAAAACAAACATTTAAAAACAAATTCTAACAACTTAATATCGTTTATATACTACATATGTACGAAAATAAATCTAGTAAATTATAAATAAATGAGTATTTTCCTCACATAAGCGAGCTCCACTTCCAGGCTGCCAGTTGTATCTTCGACAATTTATTATCCATTTCTTCTTTCTTTTCACATTTGAAGGAAATCAGAACACGCGAAAGCCCTTTTTTTTTTTAACTGTTTGTGCAATTTAATGCCGCTCAACCACCCATATCAATAATTTTTGGTATCCAAATAGTCTTCAAACTTTCACGCTAATACTAACATAACGTTAACTTGCGAACTAGTTTGCTCCAATTTAGTTGATAGTTCAGCTCTCCTAGTATAGTAGCCTTATCATTATGAAATTGCATTGTCAAGAATCAATTAAAATTATATAAATTATTTTTTTATCTAGTAAGATAATCTNTATGACGTTTGCCAGATCCACAATCAAGCCAATGATTTACAGAGGTTTTGCGCAGAAATCTGAAAGAGGTTTTCCATTTAGGTAGATGTTCATAAATGCGTTTAACACTTCTTGTTTAAGACCAGTAAGTAATGTGTATTTTTGTAAGTTCATTGCTGAAAAGCCCCTTTCAGCCGCTGCAGTACTCCCAGATAGAGAAAACATCAATTCCACCATGAGCAGTATGTTGCTGTTTTTCGAGGGTCATTTTAGAAGTGAGGCGCTAGACTCTTGTAAGATAACGAAAATTTAAAATGTATCACGAACTTTAACGGGAAAATGGCAGTCCGCATGGACGCTGTATTCGAGAAATTTGTTGTCTGCGGGGAATTTTTCACCGCCGAGGTCGGGCGGACGGGCGGTTTTTCGAGCCCTGATAGTAACCTTAGCATTATGAAATTGCATTGTGAAGGATCAATTAAAATTATATAAATTATTTTTTTATCTAGTAAGATAATCTCATTGAAGAGATGAGTGGATAAATGTTCTAATTGTCATTTCAATGATAAGTTTATTCGATAGCTGTATGAAATGAGGATTGTGCTATTCCTTTCTTTCTTGTGCTCAAACTTCCGTGCATATTTTTCAGACATAACTGAAATGAATTCTTACTTTTAGTGTATTAAAACTGAGTAGAAAAGTAATATTTATTATTTTACTTGAAAACTAATTAAATATTTTTTATCGAAGGGACATGACACAACAGCTGTTGGTTCGAGCTGGATTCTGTACCTTCTAGGACTGCATCCTGAAATACAGGAAAAAGTGTTCGAAGAAATTTGTCAAGAGTGCGGCGAAGATCCTGAGAAACAATTGACTGAAGAGTGCTTGAGGAAACTTAAATATTTGGAATGTGTTATCAAAGTAATCGTTTACTGTTTGTTTTTAACAGGAATTAAATATCCGTACTCACATTACATTTTTAATACTTTTACAATTACCAAAAGAAAAAAAACAGCACTGTAATTAATGGATACTCAAATTTCACGAAACGTTCTTCTTTTGTGACGAAACCGTTTACTAATATATGCTCAGAGTAAATATTTCATCAAAGTGACGAAATAATAATCACTTTTTCAGGAAAACATACTTCGTTTTTTTATTTTATTTCTAAGAAAGAAAAAAAAACTCATAATGAGTAACTTTTCTAATACTCATTTTATTGTTAACAACATGCAACTGAGCTGAGTCAATATCATCTTAATAACACAAGAAAGACAAATAGAACAGTGAGATAAATTTCCCCTATGCTCTGAAATGGTATTCGATACCAGGTTCTTCTTGGTACGAAAGCAAACTCCTTGGCCATCATACAACCCGGTCAGATTTTCGATCGCCTAGTCTTCTTCTAGTTTTATTCTAGTTTAAAATCTCCCACAATGCACTACCCTGAGGTTTCGAGTTGAGGATACATTTTCGTCATGTATTTAGAAGTTCCCGTTTTGTCACATACCACGTGATTTGGTGACGGATGTAATTCTCATAGTTAACGAAATATAGCTAAAAGATAGCTGAATCGTCAAAAGTGAGAGTTTTAATTTTGAGAGTGAGCACAAACTATTATATTGTTAGAGAAGCATGTTGAACCAAAATATCATTTAAATTTACCACAACATTTGCACGACACTTTTATATGGTACCTTATATGGTACTTTTATGCTATACAACTTTTATGTTATACTTCTTAAATTTGGTTACTCTTCAACTTGAGTCCCGCAGTGCACTGATCGTTAAGACACGGTTCCCAGCAGATCACCGAAGTCAAGCATCACGGGTTACGGTCAGTGTGCTGGTGGGTGACCACTTGGATCAGTCTGCGTAGGGACCGAGGGTTTGCGGTATTGGTCCTCGTTAAACTGTGCTACCGTAAAGTGCTCGACTTCGCGCGCAGGTCGTCAGACTACCGAAGCGGGGGTGCCATCCCCTCCGCAGAGGATCAAAATTGTGATGGCATGTCTTCGGATCATCCTCCGGAATGTTTCCCAGACCGTCGCCAATAGCCCATTGTGCAGCTCTAGTTTCGGCGTAAATTAACAACAACAACATATTCTTCAACTTGAACTCAAGCATAGCGCAATGCTGCCTTAAAATTACTTCCATATGGTTCAAGGTACTTATACTTTGGTACAAACGCTGAGCCAATTTTTCTGAGAGTGGATGCGGAAATTGTAATACTGAATTAAGTGAAATCATACTCGTATGTATGAAATAAATTCCTGAATAAATTCTTAGAGCATGTTAGTTAAAGCACTACATAGTTAATTAAAATTATAACTTCATATTTATTGCATTATATTATCATTAAAATTATTCTGTTAAAATGATTTTTTTTTGTTTTTATATGACATAAATACCTTATTTTTTTAATTTGTAGGAAGTAATGCCTCATTGGTTTCATAACAATTTATCTATACAATACTTTCCTTATTTTGAAATTTAAGACTAAGCACCATATAATTTATTTATTAGTTCAAAGATGAAAAAGAAATTTTTTGACGTTATTTGAATAATAAATCAAATTACTATTTTTTTCTTTTCGCATAAACGCCATAAATGTCGTGATTGCGATACTTAAATAAAGGTTGCTTATGGCAGCATAAATATGTTCCAGATTTAAAAAATAATAGAAGTTTCATTTAAGAACTCGAAAAAGAGGAAAACTCCTTTTTTTAACGAGTGATATTAGCCCACTTAATCAAATAATGTTTTCAATTCTGCTAAAATGCAATGTGCCGACCAGGTAGCCGAGTGGTTAGCGTGTCTGACTACGGAACCATTGGCAGCGGGTTCGAATCCTGCTCAGGGAATGGATGTTTCTTTTTCTCTGTGTGTTCTATGTCCTTTCCTCTTTGTGTGAATGTGACTCGCCCTATAAACGGATTTGTGGTTGTGTGACCTGGGCAACGCTGCTACACCGCCGTGGCTTCGCCACAGGTGCCCACTGGGTAACAAGAAGAGAGTAGCAGTTCTGGCATTTCTGTGGCCAATGGGACAAACCCCCAAGTGCCCGCCATTAAAAAAATAAAAATAAAATGCAATGTAAGCAAGTTTCTGCAAATGTACTACAATGCGTAGTAAATTGGTTTAATAATAATCACAACATTTAATTTTATTTAATCTATTTTTATACATATTACTTAAATTTATGAACTATATTTCGATGTTATAATGAATTAAATTCTGTTCTCCAGGAAACTCAAAGAATATATCCGCCTGCTCCTTACATTGCGAGGCATTTACAAGAGGACGTTGAAATCAGTAAGTCTTTCATTTTACTACATCACCTTCATATTGCAGCATTTTTAAAATTATTTTTTATTGTTTTGAAAACAAACGTGTTTTTAACGTATATTAAGGAAATTTGAAATTTTTAATTATCTTTATTGTTATCATTTTTATTTAAAATGAAATACGCTTGCTAAAATTTAACTACGGTTTCAAAATACCTCTATTAAAGGAATATTTTCTTAATTCTTTTTGATATTTCTGAATGTCGGAGATCACCATGTCCTCTTGTTTTTTAAATTAAGTAGATAGCATGTACATTTTGTAGATTGTTTCCTCTATCTTGTGGTAGAAGAAAAATATGTCAAATACCACAAGATAGATGTAAGTGACTTTATTTTTGTTTTATAACCGACGTTAAACAACCGACTCAATTCTAAGTTAAAGACTATCAACGCTCAACTACGTAGCCTTGTAACCCAACGCTGTAAACTAGTAAACCTATGGATCAAGCATTGGAACAAACTATTCTTCATGGATAATTTTCCAGGGGAACTAACCCGCATTTGCCAAGAAAACCAAGAAAACCACCCATGGTTAGGCCGAGGGCAAGGAGATTCTTACCCATGATCGATCTACTACTGAGTATACTTTAAGTCCGCGCTGTTGTTTGTGCGAGCCCAGAGCAGAATTCGTATAAACCAGCCAACGTTGCTATTCGAACATGGGACGCTCCATTGAGAGACATAATCCTTAGCCATCACTGCTCTATGTAACAATAAATAACGAAGTTATGGAGTTTGGTAAAACACCATGTCCGACTTCCTCCTTGAGAGGTAAAATGTTCTAAAATCTGCTCTCCTCTTACATGGTGTCCTTTACCTCAAATGATTTGATTTATTCTTTCATAGCTGCGCAATCACTTTCATTAGCATAAGGGTATTGCAAACTTTCGCGTATAACCCGAATTGGAGGAATATTCTTATGAACATTTTGCATGAATGAGTTAATGTTCATATGAATTCATTTTTATTTCAGATGGTTTAAAAATTCCTAAAGGAAGCACCTGCATGTTGGTCATTTACATGTTACACAGGAATGAAGAATGGTTTCCTGATCCAGAAAAGTTTGATCCGGATCGCTTTCTCCCGGAAAATTGTTTAAAAAGGCATCCCTTTGCGTACTGCCCATTTTCAGCAGGGCCAAGAAGCTGCATAGGTATTTGAGCACTAAATCTGTTTTATACGAATATCTAAAATATATCTTCTCAATATTTTTCAAACATTTTATCTTAAATATATTTTGATTCTTAAATATATTTAAAATATATTTCTGATGTTCTATGTTAGTGTAATGTTTTTCTCTCAATAGTAGCAGGATCAAATAGCACATTAATTTATAGACAGCAAAGCTAACCTTTAAACATTACCAAGGCTACGAAAGCCTGTTTACATCATTTTTCATGATGTTTTTACCAAATAACGATTTTTAGCGTCAAACATGGCCACTTTTTTACAATTGAAAATAATTCATACTGAATATTCTTAATTAAAATAACTGAAGCCTATACTAAATAATCGAATATAAATCAATATTTTATATCTTGATTTACTTCGATACACTGGAAGCTGCATTTCTTATCGATTTTTCAGGGAAATGAAGCATAATTTTATTTTTAGAGCCTATGATGCAATCACTATCCATAGGAAAACTATCCTTTAGTAGTAAAACATACTAAGAACGAAACATGTGAAAAATCAATTTTGTTAATGTTTTGAGCCACTAAAATGAAAAGTTTTACTTAAGATACACACTTAATACACACTTAAGTATCGCTCAAATATTTACAACACTGAAGTCAAAAATAAAGAAACTCATTATTTTCTTTAATCGTTCAAATTTAGATGCAATTTTGTGAGAACAAAAAATATTTTGTTATAAAATGAACAAAAATCATAATTATTATTACGCAATCTTTAAAGGAAAAATTTTATTACAGAAAATACTTTCAAAAGTCGTGTTCCTTTAAAAACCAGCATATCCTTTAAAACAATACAATATTGCTATTTCTTTCCGTTTCATCCAATACTTCGCGATGTTTTTTTTTCTCATAAAAAAAGACAAGTGTTAATAAATATTAAATCTCAATTAATAACGAGATAGTTGTAAAAATAATCACGTTTCTATCATTATAAAAATTGATATGAATTTCCATTTTCAGATCAGGAAATGATAATAGCATTGTTAAAGAAGTATTTTACTTATCATCATATTATATTTAAAATGTATTTTTCTTTAAATATGAATAATAAGATAGAGAAAACAGTGTTGCATAACAGACTTAGTGTCGCTTTTCAATCATTAAAATGTAAAATGCAGCTGTATTCAATTTGTTTTTATTATAAGTTTTTTATTGGTTATTTGTAAATATTTGTTTCTTGTTAATACTCGTTTATATAAGATTGCATCTAATAAAAAATAATCTAGTATACATAAATTTGCTACTTAAAATTAAAAATTGGCCTCTAAGCAATCAGAAAAAAAATATGGTCAGAACTATTACAATATGGTGAAATTTACAGTGTTTCTGACTGTATGGGAGCATCAAAAAGCTCGGTAACTTTTACCAAAGCGGTTTGGTAATGATTTCAGTAAAATTAATAAGAAAATATGGTTACATAATATGCTTTAAAATTTGATAATTTTAGCATGATACCCAAGAGCTTGGCATAAAAACCATTTATTCGATTAGATTTACTTTTCAGTTTTGTATTTTCCGCTAAATGTGTGGGAATAAGAACTTTTATTTTTAATGGTGGGCACTTGGGACGAGGACCCATTGACCTCAGAAAATGCCAGAACTGCTACTCTCTTCTCGTTACCCAGTGGGCACCTGTGGCGAAACCACGGTGGTGGAGCAGCGTCGTCCACGTCACACAGCCACAAACCCGTTTAAAGGGCGGGTTACATTCATACACAAAGGAGAAAGGACATAAGACACAGAGAAAAAGAAATATCCATGCCCTGAGCAGGATTCGAACCCGCGACCATCGGCTGCACAGTCAGTCATGCTAACCACTCAGCCACCTGGTCGGCGGAATAAGAAGTAGCATTTCGAAAATCAGAATTTCTGGAAATCTGTCACCATATGAATGAAAAAATTACTATATGAATGGTTTAAATGCCTTATGTTTTAGTTTTATTAACCAGTATTATGCTTTTTTTTCCTTTTTTAGTCAAAAATGCCATTAACATACGTACTGTTATTTTACCCCATGAAATTGAAATCATTCCATAAAAAAACACTAAAAGTTGTTTGTGAAAATTTTTTAATCGAGTATGGAAATCTATAAAGACAGATAAGGTTAACATCAAAGCGCAAATGGAATTCGTTTAATATATTCCGCAGTTATTTAATCAGTCCTTGAAATAATTACCTGCAATCGTGTAATCTGCGCTCGTACAAGAAGTTAAAATAACTCACTTCATTTAGCTTTAGCAAAATTCAGGATGACCCTCGTAAAGTTTTATAACTTGACAAATCAATTATATCTTTATGTACGAGGGTTGCTATTTATATTTCTGGCCTGATAATGAAAAAACAAATATGTAGGATCGAAATTGGTTTTATTGTGTTTCAAACTATTCTCCATGATGATCAATACACTTTTGCATGCATTTGAACCAATTTTCAAAGCACCTTTTCCAGTCCGATTGAGGTAATTCCAAAACATGCGTTTTGAATGCATCAACCGCTTCTTCGGGGGTCGAAAATCGTTGTCCACGTAATTTATTTTTGATGTGTGGGAATAAGAAGAAGTCATTGGGTGCCAAATCAGGGCTGTACGGCGGATGACCCATCAGTTCGATCTTTCGCTCCGTCAGAAATGCCTTTGTTTGAGTCGATGTGTGAGAGCTCGCATTGTCATGATGAAGAATGATTCGCCTGTTCTTCTGCTTTTTTCGAATTTCTCCGATGACTTCTGGCAAACAAATGGTCGTGTACCATTCAGAATTGACCGTCCTGCGTTGCTCTAACGCCACTGTTGCCACATGACCGTTAATGCCGAAGAAACAGGCAATCATTTGTTTCGATGTGCTTCTTCCTCGAACAACTTTTGTTGGTTTTGCCTCGTCTTGGAAGACCCATACAGTTGATTGCTGTTTTGTTTCCGGCTCATATGCATAGATCCATGATTCGTCACCTGTGTAGATGTTATACACAGCCTTTGATGTACCTTGAACGTATTTTTCCAACATTTCCTTGCACCAATCGACACGAGCCTTTTTTTGAGCGTTTGTCAGATTATGCGGGATCCAACGCGAACAAATTTTTTTTACGCTCAAATGTTCATGCAATATTTTATTGATGCTAGTCATACTAATGTCCAAAGACGCCTCTATCTCACGGTATGTCACATGACGATCTTGCTTTATCAGTTCACGCACAGCATCGATCTTTTCTGGCACAACAACGGATTTTGGACGACCTGCAATTTAATTATTCTGGATCGATCATCAACCACGATTAAATTCGTTATACCAATTTTTTACAGTGCTGTATGATGGCGCTTTATTGCTGAATAAAGAATTAAGTTCTTCGAAGCACTCTTGTCTTGACAATCCACGTCGAAAGTTATGAAAAATAATGGCACGAAAATGTTCACGATTGAATTCCACTTTTTAAAAGAGAAGAACTTTTCAATTTACTGTCAACAACGCAAATGAAGCTATAATGGTCAATCGTCTGCTGAATTTATGTTTAAAAATATCAAACTTTTGATTAAAATCGTCTGCGGTCGCCTAGCAACACTTACTGTTGCCAAGGCCAGAAATATAAATAGCAACCCTCGTATAACGCTTTTTTTTATTCTTAATTAAATTTTTCATTTTTCCTAAACAGGCCAAAAATTCGCAGTTCTGGAAGAGAAGACTATGATTGTGAACGTCTTGAGGAACTTCAAAGTTCGATCAGTCGATGCTCGTGATAAGCTGCATTTATCCGCTGAAATGGTGCTCAGAGCGAGAGGTGGTATTAGACTTGAGTTCGAGTCCAGGAGATGACCAACATAAACTTCTGTTTCAAAGAAAGAAAATCATCAAAATTCTTGATTGATCACTACTTACTGAAAAAAAATTATGTTTATCGTATATGAATGTTGAAAAAATTATTCAAATATAGTTTCTGACAACTAGTTTATAAAGTAAAAATACCAAGTATGGGTACCCATAAGGATTTCGAGCTCTTGAATTTCAATATATGTCAAATCGAATCGATATGTATATTTCGATTCTATATACATGAAATTCGAACGCTCGAATTTTTGTTTCAGGAGATAAAAATACAAAAATTAGTCGAATGTTTGTTGGGGTTAACAGGAAAAAAAGAGAAATGAATTTAAAAAAATCAATAGTAGACATAATCGAACGTGGTTTGAAAACAATACATTTACCTGGAACCATTGCATCTAATGCAAGCAATAAACATCCTTTAAAATTATTCAAGAAAAAACGTTAATATTAATAAATTTTCTCGTCACAAAATCGTGCAACGAAAGGAATTTGTTTATTATATTCTTTTTATGCCACAATATTTTTCTTTCATTAAAGCAAGGCGCATATCACATTGTGTCTTGTCTAACTGTTTGTCATGACCATACGTTATACAATACCAGTACTATTTTGAACCTAATAGCACACACCTACATCACGCTACCTTACAACAGTTGTTGTTACTTTTGTCATGAATATAGGCTTGGGTGCTGGTTTCCACAAAGTCGTTGTTTTCGACTTAGCAACAGGTTTCTTGCAGTGATCATAATAAGACCCCTTTCAGGGCCCATAATAGCCTCGGTGACCTATTTAACTTTACTCAGTTTAGTTGATCAAAGACAAAAATTCAAATTTCGTATAAAGGCTATTGGAAGGATGAAAAACTTCCAACAAAATAAATAAAAAAGACACGTTTATGCGCTAAATTTATTGCAATAATTTTTGATTCATACAAAATAGCTTCATTACTTTTTTTTGTCAACTTGAATAATAAGAATGGGAGGCTTATACCGCTCTTTCACCCCATTTATATTGCTTTCAGCATATATACTGTCATCTGTATTTAAAGTCATAAATATTTTGTTTTTTATTGCACTGTCCCCATATTCGGTGTAGTGACCATATTTGGTTTACTTACTTTGAAAATAAAAAAAATAAAAAAAACTTTTCTTTTTTATCAGGCAAAATGAGCGAACTATCTGTGTAAATATATTCACCAAGAGTATTAAGACATTTTAAGGAATTAAATCTATTTAAATACGGATGATTAAAAGGAAACCTACCAACATTAATAAGTTTATACAAATTTTAATCTTTTAAAGTGAACTATGATTATTTTGCTTTGGCTATATTGATACAATATTAGAAAGCACTCCTTTTTGCGGATATGATCGTGTGAGCTGATGAAGAGATAAATATTTTCCTTATTTTGCTTTCCGGATTTTTAATATTTTTTTTTTAGATTAATAAAAAATATTTTTTAAATACTTTAAAAAAATAACTTTAATAATTTTTCTTCTCTTGTCATTATTTTTTATTATTTTCCATATTTTCTCAATGTTTGAGCTTAGCTTTCAATGGCATTTTCATTTCAGTTTTTCGCGACAGTGAACAAGTTAATATGTTTTCTTTGGCAGTCTTTTTATTCTAATATCAGACTAATAGCTCGTAATACTTATTAGCTCTATCTTTCATTATAGTCTAACTAGATCTATCAATGTTTTTTTTATCTATTTCATAATGACTTCTAAAAATCTGAACTATCTTAACCATCCAAATTGCGTACTAAAAATATTATTACATTTTCTTAAAGAAATTCTACGATTTGTTGATACAATTTCTTAAAACAAAATAATAATAGTTGTTAATATGCCTTGTTGTTGTTAACATACATTTTGTACATATTTCTTATATCATTATTTTCATTTCTCATATTGAAAGTTTTGTAATGTGTATAATTTGTAACTTTGTAAATAAAATGCGATCGTTGCTTTAATAAAAAATTTTAAAATTTGTTGTTTTTTATTGAGTGATCTGAAAAAATCTACTTTATCATAATTGAATCTACTGAATTTTGCTTACTAGTAATATGATTTTTAAAACTATATTCAATCTGAATTTCAAAGAAACGAAAACATTTTAAAGGCTGCAATCAAAAATTCTTAATTTATTAACAATTTCATCACAATTATTTTTCAATAGCACCAATGTATCGTCTGAAAATATAGTATTGCATTACTTTTCATTACAGAAACTATTGAAAATAAAAGCGAACATTCAGATTTAAAAATAAATGAAATGTTGGGTAAGAAGTAGTTCGTAATGCTGCCATCTATTGTTTAAAACAAAAACTATACGTTAATTCAATGTGGTATAATCAATAATCTAATAATATTCCCTACAATAAATCGTGCTATTAAATATTGGTATTTGTCTTATTATTCAATAAAATTTTAAAATGAAATCATTTATGACGAAGGTCACTTTTAACCCCTTTATGCCAATACTAATGTAAAATATAATTTTTAGCTTTTTGTTTCTAAAATTCACAGTTTTTAAGCAAATTTTTCTGTTATTTAAAGTAGCCTATGTAAACCAATTAGTATGTAAACTCCTTTAAGTGTAATTCAGTGGCGGATTCAGCGGGGGGGATAGGGGTCATGACAACCCCCCCAAATTGAAAANCAATTGAAAAATAAAATAAAAATTATAATTTTTTTAATAGTTTATAAGAGAAATAAAATTATTTAAGGGAGCATAAAGGGGAATCTGAGTCTATGACCCCCCTCAGGAAAAATTTCTGGATCCGCCCCTGTTGAAATTGAATAACCTCTAAATAACTAATATTAAAATGTTTATAAAGTTAACAAGATTTTATTAAGAAAGTATAAATGTACTAAAAGCATTTAACGGCCTTTGGTAGCATTTTCAAATGGAAAGAGGAGTAATAAAAAATGATTTGAACAAATGGATTATTCACTTAAGTAAATAAAAACTATGTTCGACAAAACATTATCAAAAGTCTAGTTTTAATTATGCTATCAGAAAAACAGTTTTGTGAATGATCTCGTTTGTTAGCGCAAGTGCAAGACAAATATTCTGTAAGATTGATATATTCATAATATAATTTATAGATATGATATGGACCGCTACATTGTTTCATTTTATTTTCTTCAAAGAATAGTATTCATGCATCCGTTTTCATTATTTTTGCTTAAGAAGTCCTTCATTTGAAAATGCACAAAGTAATATTTTTGAAGTGATTACGCGAAATTTTCTGGATTTTTGCATCTATATTATTATTTGCATAAAAATTTAAACTGATATCGAATCTAATGAATGGCTCTCCCAATTCTTAGTTATTTCAAAAGATATCAAATTTTAACCAATCTTTAAAATGATAAAAATATGTATGAAAAGTCTAAAATGTCAACCCAATTATTATATAATTCAACTAGTTTAACTGAAACATTTTTAAAATAACTCTTATCCAAACTATCTTATCTTAATACAGTTGAAAGGAACAAATAGTAAGTCACACAGAAAAACGTAATCACATGTATGTTTGAATTTATTAATAACAAGATTATAAGTGTTATCATAGCTCTTAAGGAATACATTTTTAAACTCTAGTTATAATTAATTAATATATTTTGATGAATTGCATGCTGCTATTTTAACAATTAAAAAGAAAGAAGAAGAAAGTAAACTAATCAAATAAGTAGTCGTGAATCAACTAATTGATGAATAATTTTAAGATCCTGTAAGTGAATTAAGAAATCATTGAATTAGTAAATCACAGAGTAACTACTAATCGTTACATCTTAAAATCGTACAAAATGCAAATCAGTGAAACTGTGAATCATTAATTGTCATATTTGTGAAAGTGCAAACCTGTGAATGAATGAATGAAACTTTTGAACGGCGAATAATAAAAAATCCTAACTATTGAAATTGCGAATCAGTGAATTAGTATTTTTTTTTTTATATACATTTGAGAATTAGCTAATATTGCTTGGGCTATCTAAAAAAAAGATTAAAAATAGATTATAAGATAATAGATAACGCTGGTAAATAAATTATAGAAAACATTTTGAGTATCTTAGTATCCAATACCTTTTCTAAAACAAATATTCAAAATATGCAAACAATATGGCTATCACCCACCGTTTTTCGGATATATTCCTTCAACCATTTATATTTCACTATATCTGTTACACTGAGTACCCATGAACATATCATTAACTAAGAAAGCAAACAGTCTGATAAGTCCCATAACATACAATTGCATAGAAATATCTGGTTCAAAATACAGCACACATGAACTATACAACACACTGAAAATACATCCTTTACCTAAGGCAAACTTCAGAGTTGTAAAAATCTTGAACATTCACAAAATAGCAAATTATAAACGGAAAAAATCACATTTAAGTCACTGAGAGGATTCCGAATTTTTTTTTTTTGTTTGTTTGAATAAAAGCATCATTTTAACATTTATATAAATTTATGACAGATTTGTTTTCATGTCGTTTAGCAAATTATTCCCGAATTAAAAGTAATTAAGTTTTTATTCAAATGAAATTAGATATTTTTTTAAAAGATAGATATTTTCTTATAGATAGATATTAGATATTTTTTTTAAATTTTATCTATAACTAAAGTACAAGACAAATTTAAAGTTCATGGAAGGAACTTCACATACTTCATACGATTTTTCAAGATTTTTACTACTTTTAAGTAACTTCGTATTTTTTCGAAATTCCAATAATTTTGCCGATTGTGCTGTGGTAATGCTTTATCAACAGGCAATTTTTTTAAGAAATAATTATATTAAAATTCAACACTTCCAAATCTTTTTCAATACTTTGACCTTATCACAATATTAGCCTCCAGAGAAACTATTGTTAATTGATACACTTAAAAATTATATTATATGAATATATATAAGTATATAATATATATAAGTGATCATTGCATTATGTACAATTAAGAAGAATAGGAATATGTATTAAAACTTCGTTTCTGCAAGCTTCAAATTAAACTTTGCATGTTAATCAGTTTTTAAAAAGTATCTATTTGAATACGAATGAAAATTTAATTACGTTGAATTCATGTTTAACAGCCTGAATCAAATCGGTCATTAAATTCTTTTTCTAAAGTAATTTTAAAGCAAGTTTAAAATAGTAGAACGCCTTTTTTTCCACAGCACTTTTCCTTGTTTTTTTTCTTCTAGAGCTTCCCTCCAAAGCTTTTTTCTGCGATTCTAGAATAAAGTGCCACTAATTGCAAAAAAATTCCCAATCTCTTGGTAAAAAATTGTAGTTGTTGTAACAAATGCAAGCAAATTCTATTAAAATTTTAAAAAAGTGAACAATATTTTATTAAAATAAAAAATATTCAATAGAACATACATGTATATATATATATATTGCATTACTTTTCATTACAGAAACTATTGAAAATAAAAGCGAACATTCAGATTTAAAAATAAATGAAATGTTGGGTAAGAAGTAGTTCGTAATGCTGCCATCTATTGTTTAAAACAAAAACTATACGTTAATTCAATGTGGTATAATCAATAATCTAATAATATTCCCTACAATAAATCGTGCTATTAAATATTGGTATTTGTCTTATTATTCAATAAAATTTTAAAATGAAATCATTTATGACGAAGGTCACTTTTAACCCCTTTATGCCAATACTAATGTAAAATATAATTTTTAGCTTTTTGTTTCTAAAATTCACAGTTTTTAAGCAAATTTTTCTGTTATTTAAAGTAGCCTATGTAAACCAATTAGTATGTAAACTCCTTTAAGTGTAATTCAGTGGCGGATTCAACGGGGGGGATAGGGGTCATGACCCCCCCCCAATTGAAAAATAAAATAAAAATTATAATTTTTTTAATAGTTTNATATATATGACCGTTTGAACCGTTGAATATATGACCGTTGATGACCGTTTTGAATTGTCTCAAGGAGGTCATATTTGACTTTGATATGTTACTCCGTCTTTTTATATGTAAATAAAGGTCTCCGAGCACTTGATATTCACAAATATACTTTACTGGGACTAAAGTCACTTGGAAACTTCGTTGTAATTTTGATCCCTTGAAAATCACATGGAAAACATTTCATGACTAATCTTACTAAAGTTCTAGCTGTATTTTCTTACGACTTATCTCATTTTGTTCTCACGTTTACTTATTATCGAATTTGTTTCATTGAAGTCACGTGTATACTTTTATGCTACTTGTATCACTAAAGTTATGATTCCACTCTTTCAGTTATGTCATTTACTGTATTTACAAATCTTGTAAGCAACGTTTTACGACTAATCTCTTACAATTAAAAAGTAAATCCCAATAGAGTCGCAAATGGTCACAATGATTTCATTCAAAAGTGTGACCTGCTTGAA